CAGAGCGAAATGTAAAATAAAACTTTTCATTTTATTCATCTCCAAAGTTTCTACATCAGCCTCTTCTGTGTATCATTTACAACAAAGCATAAGTAAAAATCTAGAAACGAAAAGATAATTAAATAAAAATCTAGAAACGAAAAGATAATTAAATTATTGTATCTTTCTTTCCTTTTTTATGTTTTTCAAACGATGCCATTGTAAAATGAATAACAGTAATACATAGATCAAGATTGGGTCCACGAAAAATATGGCATGACCGCAATAAGTTTCTTGCGCTGAAGGCACCGGGGGTAATTATTCTGGAACCTCGAACTGAAACTAGGAAACCCCTCGATTGAATTATCCGTTATCGGATTTGTTTGTGAAAACGCTGATTCTGAAGTCGACTTGAGTTGGCGCAGAGCAACCAGAGTTTGAGCATCAATTTCTTTTGATTTCTCGGCGATTTTCGAATATCTGATTTTGGATAAAGCTCCAGGCTTAAGGTATGTGTAAAAAGAAGGCCGCGATTTCGATGTTATGAAAGTGTTGCTTCTCACTCTAGATTTCATGGCGAGCAATAGCAAATGTGCTAATAACTTGGTGTTTGTGAGAGAAAAACTGAATGTAAACCCTAGAGAGACGGGATGAAAATATTGAGAGAAGATGGGGTTTTTAAATAGAGCATTGAGAAGCGGGAAAATGGAAGGCGGGATTTGGGCTTTCGAGTTATGGGCTTCCTTTTGTGATAGCTAATTTATGGCCCATTTATGAATAAATTAGCTCAAGTCACGTGATTTGTCGAATCTTCTTGATTGTTACGCCTAAATTAGAGTTGAGTTTCTACAAAATACGATTCTCAACATTCAAAAGTGAGCTTCGGAATGCCAACTTATTTAAAGCCGGTTTGAAAGTGATTTTGAGAATTGATTTTTTGACTGTTAGGAGAAAAGTGGTGTCCACCTGTGAGAGAAGAAGTTAAATATGACGGTTGAAATAGTAAAATAACTATCAAAAAATTAAATTTTTTGGCCAAAAAATCACTCCCAAATTGGCTGTTAAATTGGTAAATTTGAAAGTTCAATCAAAATTAATATTTTAGATATTAAAATCACAAGCAACTTTTACATGACTAACGGTTAGAAAATAAAATTGTCATACAACTAAAAAATCACCCGTCACAAAGTGGATGGTGATGGAAAATAAAATTGAATAATGCAATTTAGTATCACTATTTACCATATCACACTAAGTGATATTAAATAAAAGATAAACTTAAATAAATCATACATTTAAATTTTAATTGATCCTAAAATGTATTCTCACATGACGGGTAGCACTAATTTTACTAGAATCGAAAGGATCCCTTGTTGACACAAATCTCAACTAGTCGGTTTCGTGTAAGAATCAAAATTCCAAATCCGTTTCCTTTTCAAATTCTAATCTGTTAATAATTCATTCGTTCTACTCTCTCGACTTTGATAGCCCATTTAACCTGTAATTCATTACAATCCAATCACAGCAACAGCAAGCTTTCAATTCCATAGCCTCTTTTTCTTCTTTTGTAAGTTAGAAAGGAACCCAATTGCGTTAATCTCTGTTTCGGTTGTTTTATTTACTTAATGTGGACGATATGTGCGTGAATTTGTATGCACGTTTTTTTTTTTTTTGTGAGTCCTGATGGTTGTTCCGGTGTTTGAAATTTGCAGGGAGAGAGCGAAATTTGAGTCTTGCCATGGCCAATAATTCATACAAGATTCAAAATCGCTTGGGTATATTCCTTTTTTCTCGTGTATCAATTAATACATGCAAGTTGGATATAATTTTATATGCATGTTTCCATTAAATTGGTTTGCTTGTAGGGGAAAAGTTCGAGTTACATAATTTTTATGAAAAATTGGGGAAATAATTTATTTTTCTGGGTATTCCTGTTTGATATGAAATAGGATGTTACGATTTGTGTGGTTGATGGCGGTATTGAAAATTGAGATTATTACTTACTCTAGGAGTTTGGGTGCATGGGCTTTTTCGGTTTGTTCATATTTCGTGATTGAATTGTTATATAATAATAGAACGGTTTGCATTGCCCCTGTCTGTGTGATTGTTGATTGAATGGTAAAAGTGGTTAATAAATTTGGGATTTTCAATTGAAAAAAAGATTGATCTTTTTGAAATTGACAAATTCAATTTTAATCTCAAAGGGATGACACTGTTGTATTGAGATTCGAAGGGAATCCTGAGTCTTATATTTTGATGTACATTTTTTTTTTCCCAAATTCAGTGATAGTTCATGGTAGTGGCTGAGTTTTGATGTTTGGACTATTACTAGTTTGTCTAAAGAGACTACTACAGTTCTTTACTTGTTCTGAAATATATGTTATGAGAGTAGAGTGTTGTAATAATTGTGTTTTCCTGCAATAAAAGCATGTTCTTGTAAGTCGTATTATCTTACCTGTATGTGCGAATTACATGCAAAATTGCAATATACACACGAATGTCGAGTTTGCTTCCTCTTTTGTGTTTGAACAAAAAAATTGCGAATATTGTTCTTTTTGGTTTTCTCTAGCTTCAACTTTTGTGGTGTAGAATACAATAATGTGAGTGCACACATTAGAACTCTGTTTCTGGAAAGTTCCAAATTTGGTGGCTGACAGTTCTATTTTTGAAGAATGATAAGTCAGCTTTATCAAAATTACAGTGTTTGGGATTATGAAGTGGTCCTTTGAATGTTTACCAGCTAGCGTTATACGAACTTCTTTGATGTTCAAAGATTGGTTTAGCTTCAGGATTCGGTTCCGATGGGTTAGATACTATGGAGGCGCATTGTGTTTCCTGTTTTCGGATGTCCATGGTATAAACCATCATGAACTCACAATAAAGAAACTTGAAACTTTGCAGTCTCATAGCCTCGACCTTGTTTCTTTTTGCCGCTATAGAACAAGGCCTTCTTGGTCATTGAATTCTGCAAATCGTACCTATCATTTTTGCTCTTTCAGCAGTTTCTTTCGAAAGATTTCAATTTCACCTCATGAATGTATTCTGACATTCTTTTTTCATAATGAAAGAGAAGAGGAAGGCAGAATCCACCCGCATGAGAGAGAAGTATCCTGATAGAATACCAGTAAGAGCTTTTCTCTTCCATTTGAGGATAAAATCTCTATATCGCTCGTAGTACTTATGTTTACATTATATGCTTGTTCAGGTTATTGTTGAGAAGGCAGGTAGGAGTGATGTTCCTGACATTGATAAAAAGAAGTAAGTTTCATTATCCCTCGCTGTAGTTTTGTTAACTCCAACTAAACATTTATGGCGTGGTTGGTAAGATGGATTATACACTAAGGCTTTTTTTGTCTTCTATTCTTCTACATTTTGCCACATTATTTTTTCTACAGTACTTATTTTCAACCACACATTCTTCATTAAAATAATATTACACGTAAATCAAAAACTTCTCTTTTTTTTTTTAACTACACATTTCAACATCAATAACTATTCCATAATACATTATTCACAAATAATGGAGCACAACCAAGCACTAAATCTTGTCTATTGTAATGTTGAGTTCCAATAAAGTTTTTACGACTCAAAATTTGAGTGTCGAATTATAGGGATTAGCTTTTCCTTGTGTAAATGCATCCATAACTCTACTTTCTTTGTGCAGATATCTCGTTCCTGCTGATTTGTGCATTGGCCAGTTTGTTTATGTGGTCCGGAAGCGGATCAAGCTCAGTGCTGAGAAGGCTATTTTTGTCTTTGTCGACAACATTCTGCCTCCCTCAGGTGAGTAGACTTCGTACTTTAACCTTCCTTATTTTACCTCATATAATTTCGTGATATATCTTTGTGCTTACAGCTTCATTGATGTCGAAAATTTACGAGGACCACAAGGATGAAGACGGGTTTCTTTACATGACTTATAGTGGCGAGAACACATTTGGATCGTCAGAAAATCATTAACAAGCGATTTCTTCCTTCAATTTAGCAATTTACATTTGGTACAAAGTAGATGGTGTTTTATTTTGGATGGTTATTATATTTGACGTAGATGATTCTTTCAAGTTTCGATTAGTTTAGATTAGACTTTTTTGAGTAGAATCTTGTGGCTGATTCAATGCTTTAGCTGTTTGGCCATCCAAGAATCATCAACTTGGCTTTTTCCTTTTTCTTTTTTTCATTCCCCCCCGC